TTATAAAAGTAGTCTTAATTTTTGTCACTTTTTTTCTTAATTTCAGTCCTTTCAAAGATTTAATATACTTTTAATTTATATTTAATATTACATCATTTTATACCAAACACTGCCATCTAGTATTCAGTGGAAAATTTAAAATAATTAACTTATAAGTATACTGAAATCTTTATCAAGAATATTATATTTATGATATTAACTTTTATGTGGCATTTGCTTACAATTCAGGAGTTTCTTACAAAAACAGCCATAGTCCAAAAATGTCGTTAATTATTTTTTATTTAAAACAATCATATCTTAAAAACTAAGACTAAATCTTGTGCTGTTTGAACCTAATGATTTGTCACAAAAGTATCTATTTTCAATGTCATAATAATAATAATAATAATAATAATAATAATAATAATAATAATAATAATAATAATAATAATAATAATAATAATAATAATAATAATAATAATAATAATAATAATAATAATAATAATAATAATAATAATAATAATATATTTATTTCAAATTTATTAATTAATTATTAAGTAATGCTATACACTTATTACAGATAAATATACAAAACGTCACCTGAGTATTGATTTGTTCTATGTCCAATATGTTATAATCGAGATAAACGGGTTTGAAACTTTGACATTAAATATCTTATTTTTTTTTAATAAAAACTGAGCAACTTTTATCTAAAATTTGGATTTATGCCTCAATATTGGAAATAAACGTTTTGGAGATAAAACAAAAAGTGCTATTTTTGGATTTTAGAAACAAAATGTTGGACATATATATATAACAAAGTTTTAGGACATGAAACAAAACTAAATTAAAAACCACTTTATTTAATAATGATTTACTTTAATAATAATAATTATAATTATTGTAAAAATACAATGTCATATACATGTAAATAGGTTAAAAAAAACGTGTACTGGCTAAAGTGGATATAGAACAAAACAATTTTATACTTATAAGAAAGCTTTCCTTGGAGATAGTCATAAAATGGATATAGCACAAACAAATACTAATTATTTTCAGATTTTTACACATAGAGCAAAAGAAAGCCTGTAAGCGAAATTTTGGAGATAGAGTAAACCAACTTTAAACCTTTTATACTAAACTCCAGTGGCGGCTGGTGGATTTTAAGTATACCAATATCTCAGTTATTAGACATGGGACCCACACCAAATTTATAATAGTTTATATTGACATTAAATAAACAAGTTCGGCGCAAACAGAATTTAAATTGAAGTTTGCGAAAAAAAGTTAGTTTTTCCTGTCGCCTACCCTGCCTCCAGGCCCCCCTATTTGAGATAATTCAAATTAAAGTGGTGCAATTTATTATCTACTATAATTTATCGACAAATTTAAAATTTTATTCAAAAAATCCAAATATTACAGATTTTATTCGATTTTAAATTTTTATTATTTATCTTATTAAAATAAAAAAATATTTAAAATGGTATAAAAACTGTAATATTTGGATTTTTTAAATAAAATTTTAAATTTGTCGATAAATTATAGTAGATAATAAATTGCACCACTTTAATTTGAATTATCTCAAATAGGGGGGCCTGGAGGCAGGGTAGGCGACAGGAAAAACTAACTTTTTTTCGCAAACTTCATTTTAAATTCTGTTTTCGCCGAACTTGTTTATTTAATGTCAATATAAACTATTATAAATTTGGTGTGGGTCCCATGTCTAATAACTGAGATATTGGTATACTTAAAATCCACCAGCCGCCACTGCTAAACTCGGATTTAGACTAACCTAAACTAAAAACTGACACATATTATATCAAAATACTATTATGGAGATGGAACAAACCAACTTCAACTTTCCAAAAATGCATAAACCTCAAAATGGTAAAAAATGGAGATAGCACAAACCAATACTCAGGTGACGAACAATTAAAAGAAATATGTGTCAAAATAACTTAATGATAACATAATAAAATAAAAAAGACATTAGTGTAGTAAAAACTGTGCGTTCCATCTAAGTTGGGCGGGCGAAGGAATATCATGCCGTTATATCACCCCCCACTACAGTGCCCAACTTGAATGGAACGCACAGTACATTATCTTATTAAATTAACGATTAGTTCCTCAAAATAAAATTGCCTAGTTAAACAGTTTGGTGGAGAGAAGGGACCCTACTGTAGGGTAATGAGGACCCCCTAAGCAGTTTTGCTCATATTTTGGTTATTTTTTCGAAATTATTTAGGTTTATATTATTTTAGTTTTAATTAATTATTAACAAACACAAATCAATAAAAAAATTATTTTATTTATAACAGAAGGACATGTCCACATATTTATAATAATAAAAAAGTAAAAAGGGCCTCATTATCCGCCGCGTCGGGAAATGAGGACCCCAAAGTAAACCTGCTCTCTATTTACAGAAATTGCATGTAAATGCCGATTTTTTGCTTGCACCTGAGCATTTGGCATACGTCCACTCAAGAGTCTTAAGTCTTGAGTTAATTTAAATTACACATCTGTATCATAACGTTGGCCCTGCTAGATGCAGGAGCATCCTCGTTCACATTTGAAGCTGTATCTGCTACAGCTGCTTTAGGCTCTTGTATAATTTCAAGAGGAAAAAAAGTTAATTAGCTGGAGTAAAGTCTTTTTCATAAAAAAATACTTTATTTTTTTTATTTTAATGCAATGAGGACCAGAGGGGCCCTATTACCACAAATTATGTGTAGAAAACAAAATCATCATGAAAATATCAAAAATATGACTAACTTTTTATAAATGATAATTTTAATAAGAAGTATTAAATATTGATTTTTAAGCAAAAGATAAAATAAAATTGTATATTTAGATCAATTTTACCCTGCATAAATATAACTGTTTAATAAGATCAAAACGCCATAAATAATAAAAGAAGACTACTTTAACTATAGTTATATATCGATAAAACAGACTTTAAATAATCTACAGAGACTAAAGACACAATTCTTCAGATGGCTTCACTGTTATCTTAAACATATCTCTAACAACAGCCATAATAATACAGTGGGCCTGATTACACGGTGGGCTGTTAATAATTAAATTATTTTCTTAATTCTAGATTAACGAATAAAGTTAGATAATTTTATTGAAAAGTTTATTAAAAAACTGTAGCAAATAAACTTTTTTAAGACCATAGTTTAAATTAATATAATTCGAATGAGTTCGTTGAATCTCGTAAAAGACAAGCCTGCGCCGAACCGTTATACCGGCTTTTCGTTTTTAGCCTTTGTGTTGTGCTGGTGCTATTATGTTGTGAAACGTGAACTATGAAAATGGAGCATAAATCATTAAGTATTAATTTAGAAGAGTTTTATAATCCTTTACTGGTAATATGATATATAATATAGATTTGTAATTACGATTACTATTTCTATGTATATTTATATTTTTTTTCAATACATGATTATAATAAAAACGCCTTATAAACTAATAAACTTTATACCTATTATCCAGCCAGGCTGCAAAAATCAATTAAAACAGCATTATTGGTAGGTATACCATATACAGGGTGTTTCAGAATAAGATGCTGAACCTTGAGGGTGTGAATCCTTAGTTGATTTTAAGAAAAAAAGTTCAAATAAACCTATGACCTAAACCTCTTAATTTTTGAGTTACAGGGTGTTAAAGTTTTAAGAAAAAAATCGGTTTTTTTATCATAACTTTAATAACTTCCTAGATATTTTTATAAAATTTGGCACACGCCTTCTAAGCATTAACAGTAAGTTTTTGATGTAAAAGATTTTTTATTTTTTTACCAGTGGCGTCCGAACAGGATGTGGTCTAGATATTTTTGGAAAAATATTATGCACCCCACTGCTATTTTTCAAAAAAAAAATATTTTTTAAATCCCCATTCATTTTAGGGCAAATTTGATTTCTTGGCCATTTTTTGTACGACTAACGGTTTTCGATGAAAAAAATTAAAAGCATTTAATAATACATCAAAAACTTACTGTTAATGTTTAGAAGGCGTGTGCCAAATTTTGTAAAAATATCTGAGAAGTTATTAAAGTTATGATAAATTTTAAAACTTTAACACCCTGTAACTCAAAAATTAAGAGGTTTAGGTCATAGGTTTATTTAAACTTTTTTTCTTAAAATCAACTAAGAATTCACCCCCTTAAGGTTCAGCATCTTATTCTGAAACACCCTGTATAGTTAAATAAAGCATTTAGGATAGGTCGTGTATTTTAATAATGTTAAATAAATTGTGTAATAAAAAACAATAATATATTTTTATTATTTTAATTAAAAAATGTATTTATGGTAGGCAAAGATTTTAAGACTGCAGTTAAACTGTTTAGATATGGTAATTAAGTACCTAATTTTAATACCCCGACAAATAACTTTAATTATGACATCTAAACATTGTTTACTAACAATAGATGTACACCTTTACGTTTAATAACTGCAGTCAAACCTTTTTAGAAAAATCCTTTTAATAAACATTAATAACTGTCCCAAATAGAGTTTTTTTTTATAAAAGTACAGTTAAATATTTTGTAATCTTTATTAGTCTTTTCTGCGGTGTGTATATAATATCTATATACATAATATGTACAAAACATCCATAGTCCAAATTGTTATTTTCTTATATATTTTAATTTATTATATATTATATGTATTACATATGTATTACATATAATATATAATAAATTAAAATATATAAGAAAATAACAATTTGGACTATGGCTGTTTTGTAAGAAGCGCCTTAACTGAACAAAATAGTTTTTTTTAATTATTTAAGCTTTTTACCTATAGATAAAATAATAATAATTTTTTTAATATACCTACCCTTTTAGCCAAACCATAAGGGATAGGTTGTGTGGGTGGGGAGGTTAGTTGGCCAAACACCACTGCATTAACAACAATATCGATAAAACATCTAAAAGGTCCTGAGACGTCAAATGAATGTTTGTTTAATCAATAAATAACCCTAAATATTTGATTTAGGGATTTTAATAATTTGACAGAAGTAGTGTCAGTTTAGAATCACAATTAAAAATAAAGTTATTGTTAGTTAAAAGTAAAATAATGGTTTTGGATTATCCTTCTTACAGGTAATTTGAATTTAATTATTTATATGTTTTGATTGTATAAGAGTTGGTTTATTTACTAGGTTATGGTTTAGGTATTTTAGTTTTAAAATTTATGAATTACAATTAACTGAGGTAATATTGTAAATACAATTATCAATAAAGTAATATTTTAAATTTTTGTTAAATCAAATTAACCAACATGTTTACCTTAATTATTACCTTAAGGTATTATATATTGCATACCTCATGTACATATATTTTAAATAATTAAAGTTGTTTTCTTTTTTAAACATGAATTCTGCCAGAGTCTACGTCGGACCCCTCTCATCCACCACCACAGAAAGTGACATTAACAAAATATTTCGACAGTATGGTGGAATCGAAGAAATAGAATTGAAACGAGGATTTGCCGTGGTGGAATTTATAAACAGTCGAGATGCAGAGGAAGCAATAAACGACTTGGATGGCACCAGATTGTTTGGACAACGCATCAAAGTCGAAATTACCAGAATTTCGCAAATCCAACCCAGAAAGCGACACTTAAAGGTACCATTACGCACAAATTACCGACTTTTGATAAGAAATTTAACCACTCAAATTAACTGGAAAAAACTTAAAAAAATTATGAGCGAAGCTGGAGAAGTTACCTATGCTAACGCTCATAACAGATGTCGCAACCAAGGAGTTGTTGAGTTTGCTTGTTACTCTGATATGAAAAATGCTTTGGAAAAGCTGGATAATTTAAAACTGAATGGTAGAAGAATAAAATTATATGAAGACCACATTGCAAAATACAAACGCACTAAGGCTATAGATAGATTTGGACGTGATAGAAGGTCCAGGTCGCATTCAAGATCTTCGAAGAGAGGTAAACGAACTCCATCTTCTCCAGAAAGGTCAAGGTCCAGATCTAAAGATAGAAAAAGATCAAGGTCAAGATCCTACAATAAATTTAATTCCAGAGGTGCAAGGACACCTTCTTCAGATGATGAAAGTATTAAAAAGGAAAGCAGGAGTAGGTCTAGGTCTACTGAAGATAAAAAAATACCGCCAGTTTGAACTTGAGTTAATTATGTTTTTGTATTGCCTAAGAATAAAATGTTTGTACTAAAGTTTTTTTTAAATCAGAAAATAAATATTTATAGATAGTGCATAAGGTAAGCTCACAAAATTTAAAAATTAGGTTCATATAAATAATAAATATTCTTGAAAATAAGCAAAATCGTGTAGTAAATACGTTAAATTATCTTACAATCTTACAATAAGATATTTTACAGCCATTACAGTTTGCACAAGCGTAGTCGGAATGACGCGTGGTTGCGGATGTGTTGGAGATTTGTGCAATGCTGTTGTATTTAATTTCACAACTTAAAAGTTGTAAAAGAAATACCTAGTAATGCACATAAAAAAATAACTTATATAAGTTTTTCTGTGATTTATAGTTAATATAACTAATTGCGTTGGTCTAACACTAACCAAAAAAAAGTTGAATGGTCTTGCCAGCGCTCTACATTGGTGTAAGTCTATTGAAAATTACTTAAAATCATTAAAGCTTCTAATAATTCAATTAAAAAACAACATTAAATTTTCTAGTACCTAAATATAAACCAACACAGTGCAACATTTTCTGGATTCCAGCTTAAATATGTCCACTGGTAAATTAAATAGGTCAAAAAACTAAGAAAACCCTAGCATAGTTTTTTTTGTGAGAATAAAGTAAATGAATCCATAAATCAAGCAAGTAAAACTGAGAGTTATTTTATTCAAAAAGCGAAATATCGTAAATTATTTGCCTTTTAGAAGTTACAAATAAGTACATTTTTTAGGTTATGCTCAGAACTTTTTTTAGTATACTTAAGTATGAATTCATGTTAAAAAATCATTTTTGTAGATGTTTCCCTTTTTAACTTATTTGTGATTGCATTTCTCCTACGGAAAGTTAAATTACTGAAATAGCCATGTTTTGTCTGTTGTAGCGTAAAACGGCTACAAACGTAAACAATATATTGAAAACCATCGTGACGTCACAAATATTCGTCTTTCAAACCAAATTAACAAATCCCGAGAAGTTTTAAACAGTTGTTCCATAAACGTAAACAAAACAATTAAAAAAAGTAAATTTGATATAAAAATAGTACTGCCAAATAATATTTATAAATAATAATATATTATATTTATAACTAATTAACAATATTTCGTTTTTAAATAATGATGTAATAGCAGTGATGTAACCTATACATTTTTTTCAGTATCTAGGTACCGATACAGATACTCTCTGGTAGATGTATCTGGGTACAGATACAGATACATTCAAAAAGTATCTAAGTTACTTCCAGATACTATGTTAAAAAAACTTAAAAATTAAATGACAAAAAAAATTTTTTGGACCTTATAAACAAGCTTGTTAACTATAAAATAAAACTGTTTTGATAAAATTGACGAAATATCCATGAAAAACGGAAATAAATTTTATATTTACGCGCCATATGAAAGCTTACTACAAAATTTGTAGTACAAATTCAAAATTATCAGAACGAAGAAAAATGCCTTCAAAGCCAACTATAGGTATCCTTTATACCTTTAACTTTACTCACTAGTGCCTAAGAGTTACTTTATGCACTTCGCACTCCAAAGTGGGTTGAAGGGAAAAAGAAATAAAATATATTTTTATTATTTGTATTGTTTATTATATGCAATGTAGGTATATATCCTGGATATCCATAGAGAATATCCATTGGATGTTCAAGCTTGTTAACTATAAAATAAAACTGTTTTGATAAAATTGACGAAATATCCATGAAAAACGGAAATAAATTTTATATTTACGCGCCATATGAAAGCTTACTACAAAATTTGTAGTACAAATTCAAAATTATCAGAACGAAGAAAAATGCCTTCAAAGCCAACTATAGGTATCCTTTATACCTTTAACTTTACTCACTAGTGCCTAAGAGTTACTTTATGCACTTCGCACTCCAAAGTGGGTTGAAGGGAAAAAGAAATAAAATATATTTTTATTATTTGTATTGTTTATTATATGCAATGTAGGTATATATCCTGGATATCCATAGAGAATATCCATTGGATGTTCATTTTCCGTGTGGCCCACACGGTGTGGAGTTGCAATCAGGTTGGGTAAAATAAAATGTATCTTGTATCTAAGGATCTAGATCTAGAGAAAATTAAAAGGCCATAAAAAATACAAGCTAATATCAACAAGCCCTGCGACCAAAAACCATAATAAAAGGAACATACCACGACCGCTTTAAATTAGTTCCTCCAGCATAGAATATGAAAAAGAATGCTTACTATCATCGATTTAAGACGGATGCATACAACCACTGGGGTCGCAACACCTGGCGCTGCAACTCTGCTGCTGACCGCAAGCTCCCAGCTTGCCAAGCAGACCATGACGGTCCTTGCCGATAACGCGTTTGTGTAAATAGTGTGGGGCGATTAAAAAATCGATTTTTGATTTTACTTCCGACACTGAGAAAATTGGTTTTGAGCTCTTAACATTAATTGGAAGAAATTGTAAAAAATTTACATAATGTATAAACAAATATAAACCTTTTATAATTGTACCTTGTGTACGCTAGATATATAAATATAAGGTTTATATACGTAAACTAACATTAGGTAAATTAATATAAACATAAAGGGTATTTATGACTTCAACGGAATAGAACGGTTTTTTTCCAACGACCTTAGGTTTGAGCTATTGAGGTTCTATACGGTATACCGTAACAACAAAAAAAAGTTGGACGAATATGTTAAAAAAAATTATAATTATATACTTACTTAAATACAAACATGAACTAATACATGTAATTTCATAACGGCCTTTGATGGCCTTTGCGATTGCAAGCTTAGCCAATGAAAGAAAAGTAAAAAAAAAATTCGAAATTTAACATTTTTAAAAAAACAATAAAAAATAAGTTATGTAGTTTAAGAAATATCAATTATTACTTATTACATACCTTAAATTAATGGAATTTTCTTAAAAAACATATTTATAAATTTTGACACATACGTCAGATTTTATGAATTGTCAAATAGTTTCCTTTAATTCGAGAAATAATAAAAATAATAATAATAATAAAAATAGACGTATATCACTCAACCTATGAATTTAATCTGTCAACCTATGCTCAGTAAGTTTTTTATTTGATTTTTCTTTTTGGAAAATAGTTTCATGCAAAATAATTAAAAATAAAACCCCTCGACCGCTACGCGGTCTTGTGATTTTATTAAATTATTTTGCATTCATCATTTTCCAACAAAAACCAAACAAAAACTGAGCCTAGTTTAACCGATTAAATTCATAGTTCTCGTGAATATATGACTATTTCCCTCGTCTTAATTTCCACCAATCACAAACGCGCAATTTTGAATTACAAATGGTTTATAGGTGGAAAAACTGTATGACAGCACCTGTCAGCAGTTTTTTCGAGTTTAACCGCGGCAAAACTTGACAGCTGTTGTCACCAAAATTGAATTTTATATTTTAATTGTACCAAACATAATTAAGTTTGTAATATTTTGTGATTAAATAAATTACCTATTTTTCAGTTTTCAAATTAAAACCGAATATAGGGAAACGCCTCGCCTCCCTCCAACGCGCGACACAGTAGCTAAGCGAATGTTAATGAGATTTTTTGCATTATTATCATTTAATTTTCAAGGTCGTCTTACCTGCTCGACCTTTCGTCATGTCGTTTATCACACAACCTACTGTGACGCGAGTTAAATATTTTGGATGAAAACACAAGTTTTTATGAACACCAAATATTTATTGAAGAAGAAGTTAACAAGTTAATGATTTGACGATTCAATCAACACTGATCAAAAATAAATTTTATAAAAAGGAAAAAAGCACAAAATGATTATTTTGCAGAATTGCGAAAAGTAAATTACACGGGTTTTTATGTCTTAACGGATGTAGCTTGATTTTGTTTAATATTATATGATATTTCCTTTAACTTTAATTCTTAGGTCGCTGTACCGGCTGCAGGGTCGGCGTCCGTAACACCTCCCTCCTTAAGAAAGAGCTCTAGGGTTTCTCTTGTAACTCTGGGGCGATTTAGAAAGTGGTGGATCCTCTTCTTTTTCTTAACCATAATGTAGATGAAGGCCAAAATAAAAAGAAGACATGATGTCGATATGCTCCAACTGATGTAGGTGGCAACTGGGTGCAAATGAAGGGGTTGGATTGGTGTTATGTCGAATCCGGTCGGGATGTCCATTTTCTGTAAAATAAGTTTGTTTCTTGCCGAAGGCAAATTGTGTGTGTAAAATTCAGGTGTGACGTCTTCTTCTTTATCGGTACATTGGATCGTGTAGCAATCGACTGTTATGGATTGGTTACACCGGAATGTCTTCGTTGGGGAGTACACTATTTTTCCATCTGGTAAATCGTATTCAATCTCGGATTCGGCTTTAGCTGTTGGGCATCGGTGAGGATTCGTTATGGAACAGTTGCTGGTGATTTTCTTATTGCAGAAAAAATGTCTTATTGAAATCTGCTGACAGATCTCGAACCAATCGTTGTGGGAGTTCCATGAAGTTGGTGGTAGGATAAGGGTTTTGTCTTCATTAGGTATTGGGAAAACTTTGATTAGCGGGTAGGATTTGACTTTAAGGATTGGAATTTTCAAAATTAATATAATTTTATAGTTAGTGTGAATTAGAATAGTTTGACAGTGTTCAAGCAGATTAGTTGAAATAATTTGATTGGTATCGTAAAATTTTTCTAATTCTATTTCTAATCTTGTAATTTCATCGGCAGAAAATAGTTCTAAATTTGTTAAATTTAATTTTGAAAATGTTATTGTACGTAAAAGCATTAATAAAAAATCATTTACGTGTTCGATATTAGCGATATTAATTTGTGCTTCATGAATTCCTAAATCATTTTGTATATTGCGTAAATATTTTTCCAGTTGTTTATTGTTACTATTAAAATTGTCAATTATTAAATGAAATCTTTCTTGAATATGTTGTGCATTTGAAATAAGTTTATTAATTTTTATCGATTGTTCGTCTGTTTTATCCGAAATTG